TATTTCAGTTGGAAAGCAGACCCAGGGGCCAGGGGGATCAATGCTTTTCTCCACTCTTGGAAGAAAATGAAGGCTTACATTTTCCCCCCATTCAGTCAGATAAGCAAATGTTTAGGGAAAATAAGGGAGGAACAGGTAGAATTTGTAGTATTGATAGCACCAGTGTGGCAAGCTCAACCCTGGTATCCTCTTCTTTTAGAAATGTTGATTCAGAAACCAGTCCTTCTTCCACCATATCCCAGTCTGTTGATGTCTCCAACAGGCTTACCTCATCCTCTTACATCAAACAAATCCCTTCATCTAGCTGCATGGATGGTTTCGGGGAACACACACAAACAAGGTCTCTTTCTAGAGAAGCTGCCTCTTTACACTCCCAAGCTTGGAGACCGGGAACTAGAGCAGCTTACAAAAGTGCCTGGGGAAAGTGGGTTGGCTGGTGTGGTTCAAGGTCATTTGATCCAATTCACTCCCGTCTGGAGCCTATTTTAGAGTTTTTAACTGTTTTGTACAATGAAAGTAAACAGTACAGGACAATTAATACTTACCGATCTGCTATTTCCAAAAATCATGCCCTCGTAGATGGTCAACGAGTAGGGCAGCATCCTTTAATTGTTACTCATATGAGAGCTATTTTCAATATGAGAACTCCAAAACCAGGATATCAAGAATCTTGGGATGTAGACATTTTGCTCAAGTTTATTGATAGCTTAGGTAATAACAGAAATCTTTGTCTGAAAAAGTTATCTTGCAAATTAGCGGCCTTACTAGCTCTGACCTCGGCTGGCAGAGCCTCAGAACTCAACCAGTTGAATGTGAATTTCATGTTAGATTCTGGTAATTGCATTTCTTTTAAATTGTCCAAGCCTACGAAAACTTGCAAGCCAGGGAATCCTTTACATTCAATTGCATTCAATGCTTTTGAGACAAGTACTTTATGTGTGGTAGAATGTATTAGATCTTATTTAGAAAGAACAGTTGGTTTTAGAGATGTTTCTGACAACATAGATATATAGATCCTGGTTGTTACTAAGTTATGTTAAACCACATCACCCAGTTACAACTAGTTCTATTTCACGATGGTTAAAAACCATAATGGCTGAAGCTGGCATTAATACTGACCAGTTTAAAGCTCACTCCACAAGGTCAGATTCAGTATCAAAAGCTTATTTAGCAGGGGTTTCTGTTTCTGACATTATGCAACAAGCTCACTGGGCTAAGAAAAGTACCTTTGCAAGGTTTTATTGTAAACCGTATACAAGTCAAGCTTTCAGCAATCGGTATTAAAAAGGTAAAAATATGGGCTTAAAGAGAACACTAAGAATCTTATCGAAAGTTATGAAATAAAATTGGAGATTTCATAAGCACACGCAGTGTGTGCAATGGAATCCTAATTTCATGAATAACCTGAGATAAGATATGAAAGTGTTCCCACCCACCCTTCCCATTACCTTTTGTTTTATACTGCATTGGTTATATCATTTATTAACACATCTCTATCGCATATTTTTTCAGATCCTAAACGGAAGACAGGATTACATCAAAGAAAGAAGTGATTCTTTGTTAATCATTATTATTATGGATTAAATAAATTGTTTCCAGAGTTTACTTTGTTTTAGTTTTTCCTTACAATTGTAAGGGTTCAGTGTACTCCCTCACCAATTCGAAGAATGAGTAAATTTCTATAGGGAGTCTTTTTATATGGCTATTCACAGTGTCACCTAGCGGCGAGTCAAGCGGAGAGAACACTTTCATATCTTATCTCAGGTTATTCATGAAATTAGGATTCCATTGCACACACTACGTGTGCTTATGAAATCTCCATTTCTTTAACACCCTACTCAAAACAAAATACATGTAATTTAGTAAATCTATATGATAAGAAAGTATCGAAATTGATAACTAGTAAATTAAACAGGGATAATTCCAGCACTGTTCTAATCAAGATTTATTAACCACAGTACCTCTTTTTATGAAATCTGAAAAACACCGAATATTCGAATCTTAAATTCATATTCGAATATCAACTCATCGAATGAATATTCGAATGTTCGAATATTCGTTGCCATCCCTACTTTAATTACATCTTTGCGAGATTCTGACGATGTCACATTGTGAAAAATAACTAACGTTAGGTAAATACAAGGATTTTGAAGAAAGAGGCTATATGCAGTAATGCCAATCGGACAAAAACTTGCAAAATATAACAAATTTGACTTTTAAAGTCTTCCCAAGACTCACAAATACTATAATAAGACACTATAATAAAATATACTGTAATAAAAAAATAAATAAATACTATAATAAGACACATTGGGGCTTTATTTCGTATCTGTATTCATTCTTGTTCACATAAAGCATAATCAACATTCTCTGTTTCTATTATTACAGTGTTTATTTGCAACAATTTACTAACCTGTCAAAAGTTGTTATCCACCGAATGCCCGATAACAACCGAATAGCCGATAACGCGTTGAGCAGTGTGGTTTATAGTGTTATATCTATATTGTATTATAGTATTATATCTATTAAAGGAGATGGGCGAACATAGCGCGCAGAAAGCCTATAGCTTCAGATATATAAAAATCATGTTCAGTTTGTGAATTTAGTATTTAGAGTAGAGTTCTCATTATTGAAATTAATGAAATTCTGATAAACAAAACTTTTCCGAGGAAAATTTTCTCAGCAAAAATTTATTCTTTTATTAAAAGATAATGTGGTATCCTTGGGGTTCGAACCCTAGCAATAAAAATCCTGAATATCATTTTCTTTCGAGACTAGCATGCTAACCACTAGACTACACAAGTCCTGATGAATAGTGGCATTTAAATTATGTTTGTGATATGACCCTTGACTTAATGGACTTCAAGTATTTCTCGAAAAGATGCAAACGTTACATGTATGTCATAAAAGTGTATTTTTAAGGTATAGTGGGTCTTTGCTCCATATTTTGGGTAACCAAAAAATGTATATTTTTATGCAATCTTCGAGGATTAACTTTCAAAAAAATGGAGCGAAGACCCACTCATATCGAAAGATAGCGTTATTGTATGAGAAAATGACTCTTTTTGCCCTCTTTAGTGTGTGTATGATATTTCATAAGCAAATAACTTTAATCTTTGTCGGATTTTTGCAAATTGTACAGATTTTACATAAAGTATATTTTAATGTTAAATGAAATATCAAGGAAAATTTTGATATAATTGAGACTTAATTTTTCACCTTCATGTTTGTCATACTATAGGCTTTTCGCTCGGCATGTTCACCCATCTTTTTTGGCACGTCAGGTTAGATTTCAATCATGAAGTTGAGTGTGTAGCATTCCACTTATTTTATAACATTTTTTTTTAAATTTAAAGTCTTGATTTTTTTTTTCAGATAAGGAAAGAATACTAGTAAACTTTTTTTTCAGTTTGTGTTCAGTTAGTTCTTCGTTTTTTGCAAAATATATATATCAATCTTATCAAACGACCCAACAGGTATGTACACTGTGAGAGAACACACCATATATAAGATGTTTTCCTGCTTTCAAAGCAGAACAACACCATCATTTTGAGAGGGATTTGGTCATCTAAACATTCTCTATCCTTGCAGTAATCCAAAAAAAAGGGAAGAATTACATATTGAGCAGAACAAGTGATTATGTAAAATGACCAATATATCAATCTTATGACTTGAGCTTGAGTTTGATCTTTGACCCGCTAGTTTGAAAAAATTACCAATTTCAATTTTCTTTGAACAAAAATATTAAGCCTTAGTACATATTTATCATGATACATTTTGCTTATCACAATTATATCTATCTCATGGTACATATGTAGGTTCTGTTGACTTTAGAAAATTGCTCAGCAGGATACACTGGTATTAAGGGTCTAAAATTATATGTAAAAACTATTATGCAATCGAAAATGAGATTTGAAATTCATCCACATAAGAACAATATCTAGCTCAGAAAATATTTTGTTTATTAAATGACAGGACAATTTATTAGGATTTCATAGATTTTTTATTAAACAGTAAAACTGGTTTGGAATGAACATAATTCGCCGTGATTTAGCGGAGTGTTTTGGAACGCCTTGCGAAATTCTCAACAAATCCTAGTAAAATGTAACAGTTATAACGAAATATAGGGATATAGCGAACTGATTTTGTGTTCCGTAGAGATGAAAAATTTACTCTCTTACAAGAATTTTCAATATCTTAAAAAATTCAAAAACATTAAACTGACATTATTTTTCATATAAAGGTAAGTAATAAAATTGTACTTGTTATTTCATGTCATTAGCTAGTCGGTGATTTATCTAATTGTATTTGCTCAAGAAGATGTGTGCTCGATGTTATTACTTAGTATGTATTAAACATAATACAGTGAAATTTGTATAATCAGCACACCACTAGTTCCATGGAAATTGGCCGGATTAGACAACATTCCAGATTAAACAGCATTTTGAACACTTGAATGTACTCAAAGGGATCATTATAATAGATAAAACTTCAGATAACACAACATTCAGATCAGACAAGTTTCACTGTAATACATACCCTTTTCCATATCACATCGTACATGTATATCAGCTCTTGGCCAATATCAGCCCCTCGGCCCTCTAGCTTATACTGGTGTCGTGGGCTTATACAGGATGTGATATGGAAAGATATGTATTACTCTCTATACACGTTTGTTACTTTTGGTTTGATATGGACTTTCACTTGCCATTTTGACAGTGATAAATGTTTTTGAACCAGTCATTGATATGAAACATAATGATGTCACTCATATCACACAGTGCGAAATCGGTGTACTTACTACTAAGTATATGATAAAACCTTTTACACTGTCCGGTGTTCACGTATTTAATTAAGCTAAATCAAGTATACCCAATGGCACAGGATTGGTGGTTTTAATCTACAACAAAGGCATAAACGGAGTTCCCTTAGATAGTAATAATAACAGATCAATGTTAATGGCAAGAAATTCAAGAACCTAAACAAACATTTTAACACTGTTTTATGTATCACATTTTTATTTTGGGTCAACTTTTAAAAACAATACAAGAAACAAATTAAAGAGTTGTCTGTCCTAAAGTTTATACTTCATTGTAAGGTTTGAGGGAGAGTCTCGGAGCAATGTTCATTGATTGTAATTCCTGGAATAGCAGTTTACATGCGTATGGCATTTTGAGAGTGGACACGTGACGTGAAGATTTACAGAACTCGCACCATCCCGAGTATCCCAGAAGGCCACATTCACCGCAAACATCCACCTCAAATGCATCACTGGATATCATTAATCTCTCCAACAGCAGCATGCTGTAATGTATAAAAGAATATTATGGTACATTGTATGAAAATAAAAATCATGAATATACAAATTACTACACTAGAAAATCCTCTTGTAAATGACTCAAAATACATTTAAGTTACCACTAAAATAATACACTCAGTCTGACAAAGTCTGATGATACATGTAAACTGGACATTCTTGGTCAATCAGTAGCATACTTACATTAATTGCCCTACCACATTGAAGCAAATCCCTTCCCTTATTTAAAACACCACACTACATCCATGAATAATTTTTAAAATTTATTCCTATAATACAATCAATGAAACCTTTACTACACTAAAAAAGCCCATGAGTAATAAGAAAATATCATTTTTATAACACACAAACCTTGCTCCATAGCCAATGAGACAATCTCGCTCCATCTCACCCAGTCTCAGACCACCATCTCGAGATCGGCCCTCTGTTGGTTGTCGAGTCAGCACAGCTCTCGGTCCCTTGGCTCTGGCATGCATTTTATCTAGGACCATGTGCTTCAGTTTCTGATAGTATATGGGACCAAAGAAAATGTACGCCTCAAGTGGTTCCCTATAAAAACAAACAATTTTTACTTCCTTTGATATCTTCAAAGTTATTCCCTGGGTAAAGATTTGGACTTAATATTTCTTTCATTACAGTTACCCTGTTATTCCTGAGGTGACAAAATCTTTGCCAAGATAATTGAATCCATGTCTGACCAAATCTTCTGACAAATCACACACTTTGTCTCCACCAAAAGCTGAAATTAGATACAAGACTTAATTACACAAAAATGAAAATACAGATTGTTGATTTCTGCCTTGGCCTCCAGAACATTTAGTTCAAAATAGTAAAAACATTTGTTTTGTTTAGTTCTTCCTCCATACAACTTTTTGGATTTAAAATTTAGTTTGGATAGTTAAATAAGATGTTGTGAATGCAATGTTATCTTAATTTTTTTTTATCTGAAAATGAAATCTTAATTTTGCAATTACATAATTTACATTGAATCCAGCATGCAGGTTAACTGTGTACAAAAGATTGGCAGTTATGTTACATCAGAGAGTTACCTGTTCCATAGTGGAACTTCCCATCTAGGACACCTGCCTTACTCCCCATCAGTTCCATAAGTTTACCCACAGTCATTCTGGAGGGGTACCCATGGGGGTTCATTATCTGAAGGTCAAACAACGAAGATCATGAAACATCTTATACATAAAGCAAAAACAATAAGCATGTATAGTGGGGATACATAAAGCAAACAATAAGCATGTATAGTGGGGAAAAATTTCAATGTTACGCCAATACTTACAATGTCTGGGCAAATTCCCTGAAATTAAGAGAGTGTTTAATGAATGTAACATACTTTTAGTGCATTATCTTGAATATATTATATTTGAGTTGAATGTTAATAAACTGTATGACTTAAAGTAAATAAACTAAGGAAATATTAAACATGAAGATATTGAGAAATTGTTCCATACAAGTTCATTATTATATTCATTTTTTTAACAAATCTAGTCTTGAGCATTATTAAAAGCTTTAGAGGAAAATTATTTCGGATTATTTTTCATACATACCAGATCAGTAAATGGCATATCTTCCTGTGGTACAATTAATCCACAAACCCTTGAAATATTCAGAATATCAGAAATTATCAATTACTGAGTACAATGTACATGTACAGATCTACATAAGCCAGAAATCTGACTTTATTAACACATATCAAAAAGTGATTTACCAAAGGTTGTTACCTCTCATTCATATCAAAGGTCAAGGCCCCCAACAATGAATGTTTACAATCCAGGGAACTTTTATAAAGTTGACCTAAAGTAACTACTTAATCTGGTGATTTACCCTTTCTGTCCGTGCCTGCTGCTGAATTTGTCCCCGATTTCCGGTCTACGTGTCTGTCGCTGTAAGATCTTAATCAGGAATGCTTCCTCTGGATTGGATGTAATCAGAACTTTCTCTATGTAGCAGGCCTCTGCACCTTTGTAACTGAAAAAAAACATTGATCAATGTTTTGAGGATATTCGATGTATTTACTGGATATGAAATTTATTCACAAGCAATGCAGGATGCTTCTCTGTTTTCACGAGTGCAAAGCATGACTGAAAAAAATACTGTCTCACAAGAGAAAGAAACTATCAATATTATTAGAACCTCTCTATACTTTGATCCCCAGGATTGTGTACTGAAGGTGTACATGCATCAATACTTAATATATAATAGGAACTTCCTGGGGTTGACGATTTATTAAACATGGGAACCTCCCTATACTCTAGTTCCTGGGATATTTTAAAACTAATGTGATGGGTACCTCCCTATAATTTGGCCCTTGGGTTGAGTACTATTGGTATTTTAATGCTCACATGATAGGAATCTCCCTATACTCTGGCCCCTGGGGTTGACGATGTTTTAATACTTCCGTGATGGGGACCTCCCTATACTCTGGCCCCTGGGGTTGACGATGTTTTAATACTTCCGTGATGGGGATCTCCCTATACTCTGGCCCCTGGGGATGTAGATGTATTAACACTTAATAAGTTAAAGGAACCTCCCTACACTCTGGCCCTTGGGGTTGAGGATGTTTTATTACTTACGTGATGGGGACCTCCCTATACTCTAGCCCCTGGGGTTGTGGATGTTTTAATACTTATGTGATGGGGATACCCTATACTCTGGCCCCTGAGGTTGTTGATGTATTAATACTTACGTGATGGGTACCTCCCTATACTCTGGCCCCTGGGGTTGATGATGAATTAATACTTACGTGATGGGGACCTCCCTATACTCTGGCCCCTGGGGTTGACCCTGTGTTGTAGGAGATTGTTGTATTGGGTTCATTGTCACCGTGGGCATCCACTTATTAACAAGCACCTGCCTGTTTTCCATTCTCTCTCCTAGTCAATTATTAAAAAGTTAATTATTAAATGATTCTTATTTTGTGAAATATACTGAGTAATGGATGGAAACAGAACTTGACAAGTAAATGGTGACGGTAAAGTCTCATAACTGAGTATGTCATCGATAAAAACATTTCGTTATTTCTTCATTAAACATATGGCTTTGATGACATTTTAACAAGATAAATGCTGCATAATTATATGTAAGTAACCTATGCATCAGTTTGAAGTCCTTATGCATATCTAAAAGTATATATACACCATTCAAGCAAAATTAGATCAGTCATACTTGAATTACTGCTCATATTATTTGTGTCTCAATTTGGGAGTTGAACTATGTACAATCTCCCTTAGCTATCATGCTGATTGCACAGTGTGTAGGTTAATTTCCTCAGAAGTTTGCCCTAACAATCATATTAGGTATGGTATATGCATCCTCTGAAGATATTAAGCACCACACAATATTTTTAGTCAACATTTTATAGAAAATAGGTCAAAAAGGATTATTCTGTAAATGAATTTTCAAAGTAAACTATTTTTCCAGCTTTCTTGTTATTTATCCCTTCAAACTGAATAATTGACTATGAAGAAAGACCCTGAACCTGGCGAGCAGATCCCATCTGAATCCAGAGCTTCGTGTTTCCAGATTGGTTTGTGACTCGTGGCATCTACCATGGGACCCATCACCTTATCAAAACTCTGGTTTGTGTATCTCTTTAGGGTACAGGCCTGTTTTCTGTACACTAAGCATCGACCAAAACCTGCAGAAATAGGAAAAAGAACTTTACTGATCTGTTTTGAGAAAATTCATTTATATTATACATTATTAATGTAATTAAAACAAACGACTTCGTGAACTGATAACTCAGTCTACACATGTACCAAATAGGCTAACTATTGATCTTGATTAACACCTTGGTTCTGAATTAAGCACTTAAAATTCTTCTGTCACTTGATGAAATGTATTTCCTATTTATCTTTTCTCAATTTTCTAGTCCACATATATTGGATTTTTGGGGGGGGAAACACAATCACCAGAGAAAGCACTGACCTCTGTCTAATGAAGCCTTGTTGAGAACCAGCGCATCCTCAATGTCATACCCACTGAAACTCATCACTGCCACTGTAGCATTCTGTCCAGCCGGTAACTTGTCAAAGTGGATCAGCTCAATAGTCTACAAATAAAACAATGCTTACATACTTATTGAAGGGTATTTCTTCTTATTGTTGAGTAGAATTTGAAAGACTATTTTCCTACCATAAAATACAAAGATTCTAACAAATTTCATATAGCTACGAATAAGGTGATGCATTTACCGTATAACAAGTATTTTCTGCTGTTGGAAATTTTTGCGATTTAACCCCTAAAAGGTAGCAAATTAATTTCTGGGTTTTCAATTTCTCCAGTTGCATTATACCACAAAAATTTATTAATGGAATATGATCACCAAATTCTATGGATTTGGCAAATTCTTTATATCATACATCCATAAGCATAAATTTTTTTAAATATAGAGTAAGAAGTTCTGAAATAACATTAATCAGGTTGTCTGACATACACACCATTTAGGCCGAAAAAAATTAATCAATATTTTCTCAGGCACCTCAGCATCAGGTCAAACACTGCCGCATTGATCAATTTTATTGACATATTGAAAAGGGAAAAAACTCAATTTTCTATTTTTCCAAGTTGAAGAAGAAAATTGAGTTATTCCCCTTTTCATAAAGTTAACGTTTTTATTAGATAAACAATACCTTTCTTGTTAATACCGTATTTTATGAATTTTCTTTGTTTAGAATAACATTATTTAAAGTTGAATACATATTTTAATTAATGTCAAAGAACAAAAAAATTAAGAATCAGTTGTTATCATCAATTTGTTGAATGACCAACATGAGAAAAAGGTATAACATCTGCTAAAAAAAAAGAAAAAAAAAAAAAGAAAAAAAAATTTAAAATTTTTGGCCTGAGAAACTATTAATTAATTTTCTATGGCCTTATCACATTTGCATGTATAAATTTTCAATTAATATTGAAGAAATATTTTGCAATTGTAATTTTTGCGGATTTGTCCTGTCCGCAAAACTCCACAAAATTTGGACAACCACAGAAAATACCCGTTACATGTATATGGTATAACTAGTGAAGAGTATTTCTTGTTATTCTTGAAATGAATTTTAAAGACCATTTTTCTAGCATAATATACTGTATCTACATAACTTTTAACAATTTTTACGTAGCTGAGACTATTAGTCCACTCAGCTATGCAACATAATGATATTTATGTCAGAATTTCATATATCCAAAATGGAGTTTAGACCCTACCTTAGATTTGACGAGTGGAGCTTGAGGATAACACAGAAGATACATCAAGGTGTCTATTCTGTTTCTCTGGTTATAGCCAATTGTACCTGTAAAACATTTACATCAATTCACTTAAAGTCCTTTAATACATAATATATGGTTTTTCTCTTTAAATTTTTCATTACTTTAAATTGGTCCTGTAAATACATGTACCAATAGCAAATGTTTAACATTCATATTAAATTTTACATTTTCTTCCATCTCAAGTTTGAGTCTCTCTCTCTTGCTTACATACAGTCAGTGAACTTACCCATGGCTTGCTTGCCCATAGCACACTGGTAAGTATTCCGGGGGGACTGGTTGTGGTGGGGGTAGGGAATTAATCCTGCACACACTCCCAGAATGGTGAAAGGTTCAATCTCCAAATGAGTTGTCTCCCTTTAAAATAAAGAGATGAACTGTAAATCTTTTTTGTACACCAAAGGAAGTTTAAACTTATGAAAGTTTTACTATTCAAATGCTTGCTCTTCACATACACGCAATTGTAGAAATTGATGTTCAATTTAAGTAAGGACATAATGGCACAAGAAAAATTTTATGTAAATTAACGTGAAAGTCAAATCTATGTTACATCTTCACACAATTTTTTTCTCAAGTCAACTGACATGGAAATCATTATATGTTTCCTTTTCATACAAGATTAGGTGAAATTCTAAGAAAATTTTCTTTATGCGAGGTACATCTTGGATTATGATTTGCTACTGATAGAAAATACAGGCAGAAAAAATTTGCTAACTCAGAGCTAATTAGGTCATACCAGGTGATGCCAGACTCATACAATGACACCATACAATCATTTTCCTCATTGACATCTAGGTACTCAACCAGGCCTTCCTTTAAGAAATCATCAAAACTCCTACAAATCAAGAAATGTGCGAAGCTGTAGAAACTCTGGGCCATCTGTTTCTATAACAAGGATGATGGCTTGATAAAAATTCACAAATTAAACTGGATGCCATGTAAACTACTAAATCTTTACCTGAATCCCTGAGTGAGTTCCTCAATGTGTCTTTGTTTTACCAGGGGTTGTCCTTTTTGAACAATTATATAAGGTCTGCAACAAATTAAAAAAAAAAAATTAAAACAAATAAAAAAAAACTTAAGCAAACTTCCTTAATCTTGAAATTGCAGGATTGAAAGAAAACTTTGAAATATAATGCATCTAAGTGCTCAAGATTTCAAACTTGAGAGTCCAATTCATGAAACAATGTACATGTGTATCTTTAAAACATCTTTGACTTACTGTGGGATAATTTTTGTTTATGGGTGACCAATGTTCCTGGATTTCGAATCACCTTACTCATGAATTAACATTCCCATGAACTATTCTGACAACATACATGTATTTATAATTTGAATCTTCTCCATATAAGAGTTACCCACAAAATTATGTCCCCTCAAACCTATAAAATTTTGCTTGTCCACAAACATTACTCCCAGGAATTAAAATGATTCCACAATATACATGTACAAAGAAATATCTGAAATTTTAAAGAGTAACTAATTATTTTACATGTACTAAGTGATGCGATATCCTTCCAGTTTGCTACAATTACCAACCTGCATAATCGGCCTCCATCAGTTGAAATGTAAACACAGCGATGAGTATGGTTAGTACACACTGACACAAACTCACTGATGTATCCTGACCGTCGCATCAAGCGAAAGGTGCGAACCAGTTTATGGTAGTCCCGTATCACTCCTAATATGTTACCTGTTAAACAAAAATAAAATTCTCAATACCAGACTGTAAAATTTGAGAGTAGGAATCCACATGGCAATCATTATCACATTCAGGTCTGTACAAGAATGATAATGGAACACAAATAATATATATGTACATTGAAATATTTTTAAAAGAGATCTCTTTACCAAATACTGTAAGAATTAAACAAGAGGCCCATGGGCCACATCGCTCACCTGAGCACACTGGCTAGACTAAGGCACAAATCAGTTCAGTAATGAACAGGGGGGGAGGGGGGGGGGCTTGAATTTTAAACTACCTGATGATGCTTTCATGTCAATATAACAAATTAATTTGTTGTACTTGAGAAGATTTTAAAAGAATTTTCCCATTTATTCCTTTGTAAAAATTTGATCCCCCATTGTAGCTCCTCCCTATCTCAGGGGTCATCATTTGAACAAACTTGAATCTACATTACCCGAGGATGCTTCCATATCAATAAGACTAACATAGCTTTTCTGTTCTTGAGAAGAAATTTTTTTTCTATATGTTCTTATGTAAAACTTTCGATCCCCCATTGGGCCCCACCCTACCCCCGGGGGTCATCATTTGAACAAAATTGAATCTACACTACCTGAGGATGCTTCCATATAAATTTGACTCATCATGGCTTTGCTGTTCTTGAGAAGAAGATTTTTCCTATATATTTCTATGTAAAACTTTGATCCTCTATTGTGGCCCCGCCCTACCCCCGGGAGCCATGATTTGAACAAAATTGAATCTACACTTCCTGAGGATGCTTCCATATAAATATGACTCTTCATGACTTTACTGTTCTTGAAAAGAAGATTTTTAAAGATTTTTCCTATATATTTCTAAGTAAAATTTGGATCCTCCATTGTGGCCCCGCCCTACCCCCGGGGATCATGGTTTGAACAAACTTGAATCTACACTACCTGAGGATGCTTCCATATAAATATGACTCATCATGGCTTTGCTGCTCTTGAGAAGAAGATTTTTAAAGATTT